GTGTATCCTAAATGCTCTTGGGTGTGGTTCCATCTTTCAGATTCTGATCAACCTAACAGGTGTCACACAGTAAGGAAAACTGATTCTCAAGCTTCTAGCTTCTGTCAATTACCAGTAGATCCTTAGCTAAGGCTGTGCTTCATGTTCACTTTGCCCATCCATACCAGATCTTTGTCTGACTTGAATTTCTACAGTTCTTATACATGTTGCCATAACTGCTGTGGATTCATATGTGCAACTAACCTGTATGAGAATTCCAGTGCCAGGAATGGATTCCCTGTTTTGGAGGTGACCCTCAAACAATACTGGCTATTGCCATTGCACTTGCTTATAACCAGAGTTTGACAGTAAGGTGTTATTGTTGAAGACATTACATACCTAGTTCACAAAACGAATGAGAGATCTAGCTGGTCTTACCTTGAAGCTTCGTTTCTGCTGGCTACTTTTCACAGCAGTAGAAAGTGTTATGCATGTTACTGGCAGAGAAAGGTAATCATCAACCTTACCCAGATGTGAACCCTGACAGCTACAACTTATATTTCATCTCACTACACAATAAAATTCTCTCATTTTCCGAATAGCACAAAGATGTATTGGATCATTGCTGTGATGTCCACAAACCGCATCAAACATTGTCCTTTCATAAAGTTTGTTATCATCCTGATGACCAATCTTTTACTCAGTTTAAAAAGTACATGAAGTTTTGAGTATCATAAACATTTGTGAGAAACTTTCATTTAAATAGCTTAAATGTTTAAGTTTATGACTATTAAGCCCTTTCCATGAACAGTAAAATAAAGAGTATGATGTATTATAAAATAGACATATATGAATAATTTTGCCCTATGAAAAGTTTGGAATACTTTCAAATTCTATCAATAGTTTTCCTCTCTTAAAAAAATATGCTCCTGAGTTATTTAAATTTGACCTCATTAATGTATATCATAGATACATGACATTGTTATTAATAACTTGAGTTTCAAAGAAAAATATTTTCTTATCTAAGTTCTTGGAATTTCTGATCACATGTTATGGTATTATTTTGTGTTTGGGGTACTTGTATTTTGATGAAATAAATATACATTTATTGTACAGAAACAAACACACATGCATGTGCCTTGTGTGTCCTCCCTTTTTACCCTGAGCATTACATTACTGCAACTGCTTAATTCTCCTACACACTAATGCTAGATATATAAGAAATGTAGATATGCAAATATTGAATATCCAAATGAATTTTAAATTTTTATTTTAAAGTCCAACAATATTTCTAAATATGTTAGTTTTTGAATTCCCATAATGTAAAGGCAATCGCTTATTTACAAAACAATGAATCTTCCAATACAGTTTTGAGTTCTTATGAAAAACCTCTGTCCTTGTTTATTACTTGTTATTCATGTGCATTATTTGATATCATAGGTATTATCTTGGAGAATTAAGAGTATTTAAATAGTTTCCCAGGTAAAATGTTGAAAGCCTAATAGTTTCAGAAACATTATAGCTCTCAGATTAATAGGGTGACTAAATAATACATGCAATTTATCATATTATGAGTCAATTGCAATTAACAATCCTTCTAATTACAGCCTGTGATTCCATGCATGTCTTTAAATTCTTACAAAGAATTGCACAAATCTTGAGATTATGTGAATCCATGCCCAGATGCAGATGCATTGTGGGCTGTTTTGTTGGCAAGGCATAAAGAGGCATGGCCATGTCCACATCTCCAGAAGACAAAACAGCACTGCCAATCCAATCATGATGCCCCAGGCAAACCTTAAAGATATGTTGAATTAAGCCAGATTCCTGTAATACAAAGGAATAGTTCCATTGTTTAAATAACAGTTAAACAGTAGTGCTTAAAAGATATGATCAGGATTGAACTGTATCATAAATTCTCCAAGATTAAAAAAAAAGCAAGACTTTATACCTTTAATTGCAACCAGCTTTATCCTATTTATTATAATAAAACCATATCTTACCAGAATATCTTGATGATGTTTTCTTAGTAGTATTTTCTAGCCAGGCTCATTATATGTGACTATTTTTATTAATGAAAAAGAACTGCTTTTCTTTGGATTTCACTTGTGTTTTTATCACAACTTCATTAATATATTATTAGTGAAGGACTGTAACATCATCACTGTTTGCTTATATATGAGTAAATCCTCAAATTCCAGCTTTCTTTTGGGTTTTGAAGCTTACAGTATGTTAGATATTTATTTCTATATATTTATTTCTATATCATATCCTGAGTGATAATCATTTTTCCTGAAGATGAAACTTCACACAAAGTCAACTTGAACCATAAGTCAGATATATCAACCCAAATATTGATTGATCATGATCTTCACATTTGACACATTGAAAGGGAATCTCAGTCCTTCCTTCTGTGGCCATTTCCCTAATTCCTTTTGGTGATTCTATCACTAAAGTGCAATCATGTCTTTGCAATGAGTGATCTTGTGTAAAATGGCACACAATTGTAGTGTAAGTGAATACTACTCCTGTCCCTGCTGCTTCTAAAGGTAGTAGACTCAAATATCAAAGGTTTGTATTTTTAGACCAAAGTTTCTTTAACCATGGATCCTGAACCCTTGTGGGACTGTGGAGCTGAATGTGGAGACTGGGGAAAAAATTGGCAAGAGCAAAAGGTTCCTGAACACACAAAGACCAAAAATTACTTAAAAATCAAACACGTAAGAAATGTGAGGTGTCTCTGGTAACGCCTGACTGTGAGGCATTCCACAACTTCAGTGCAGTCTTGGTTCCGAACACATGCCATGCCCACTTTGCCTTGTATGTACTGTCTCACCACAGGATGCAAAGGACAAGGGCCTGAAGCAGCTCCATTCACACTCATGGCCACTGTGTGCTATGAGTTGTACTGTTTCTACTGTGCACTCAAAGGTTTCTGTTCTTATAGAAATATAATTATTGAAAGCAATAATTCATAATATTTCCCTACCATCAGTCCTCAGCATATATCAAATTATTATGTATTTGAATTTTATTGTGTTAGAATAAAAATTTCTGTGTTAAAAGGGACTCAAAAAAAAAAAAAAAGGGGGACTTAGGAGATAGTTCAGAAGGTAAAATGCATATGGTGCACATGTGAGGACCTGAGCTTAAATCCCAGCATGGGCATGGTGAAATGTTCCTAATGTTCCTATAATCCCAGTGCTTGAGAGGCAGAAACAGAAGGATCACAGGCCTTGATGGCCAGCTAGTCTTGCCCAATCAGTGAAAGATCCTTTATCAAAAAATAAGGTGGATTGATTGCTTCACCCTAAATCAGTAGCTTTTCTATATACTAATAATCAGCAATTGGAGAAAGAGTACATGGAAGCCCTTCCATTCACAAAAGCCTCAAAAAAAAAAAAGATCTAGGAATAAACTTGAACAAAGATATTAAAGATCTGTACAATGAAAAATTTAAAACTTTGAAAAAAGAGATTGAGGAAGATACCTGGAGATGGAAGTGGAGATGGAAGGACCTCCTATGCTCATGGATTAGTAGAATTAACATTGTGAAAATGACCATCCTACCAAAAACAATATATAGACTCAACGCAATCTCAATAAAAATTCCCATGACATTATTTACAAAATTAGAACCAAAGCACAAAAAGAAAAAATCCCCAAATTCATATGAAATCACAAAAGGTCCCAAATAGCCAAAACAATCCTGAGCACAAACAGCAATGCTGGGGGATTACCACACACAAACCATTGGCACAGCCCTTGATTGCCTCCCAGAACCTGAAGATAAATCCCTACTGCTGAGACAGGACACACTTCAGAACAGGGAGTGCCCTCCACTCCATTTCTTTGTGAGAAGACTGGTCTGGGTTGGTGTTCTCCTAGCTCATCTGGCGTGCTTTCATGGTTTATGTACTAATCGTTATACACGCTTTTTGTACCACAATTCATTATGTACTTTCAGTTTCATATACTCTTTATTTAGCTATTGACACAGAAAGTCTATTATGTAACATCACAGATGTCTTTCTCAATCTACGTCAGCTCACACATAGTCCTCTTCTAGCCCAGGAGAAGCACAGGAAAGGACATCATCTGCAGTGAATGTAGCAAAAGCACCATAGTTTAATGATATGATTCTCATAATGCATCAATGGTCCTTTTTCTAGATAAACTGATTATTAGTTTATTATACTAAGGACATTGGTTTATTGACTCTGTGGACTTACTACTTTAATTCAAATCTAATTTTTAGTAGATTCAGAAAATGCATCCTTAACTGTGGTTAAACTTTTGTGACAAGCACTGTGTTTACTGTATTCAGTTCTTCACTCATGGAAACTGAGAAAAATTTTATGATCGCACTGTATAAAGTATTGTAATTATTACTAACTGGAACATCTACACTAACATAACATACTGTGATCCCAGCATTGTTAAATGATTTAAATAAAGTCATACAATTCATATTTTCCTAAACATTATAAAATTTCATCCTCTACGCCATGTGTGATGGCACACGCCTTTAATCCCAGCACTTGTGTGTCAGAGACAGGCAGATCTCTGTCAGTTCAAGGCCTGCCTGGTCTACATAGTGAGTTCCAGGCCAGCTGGGGCTGCAGGGAGACCCTGACTCAAAAAGACCAAAAAAAAAAAAAAAAAAACCATCCTCTAAAAATTATTTTATTATAATAAATACATAGTGTTTCCCTACTCTCATGAGTGTTTGGTCATTGAACTATGAAATAATTGGAAGAGAATAAATATTGTTCACAAGAGAACAGGAGAAATACAGATTCTCTTTAGTCACTCATTCGATCAGATCTTGTTACATAAATTAAATTAGTCACTGTGCATTTATGATACTGAGAACTACTTTTCTTTAGCCACATTGGAATAGCTTAATTTCAAACTGTATACAATATGTTTTCATATGTAGTCATAACTTGCTTGGAAAGCTAATAATATATTTGACAGACTACTCAGCTCTGTCCTTATGTATAACGTATGTATTTAAGATGGCTGATCACACTGAAGTGATGAGAGGCATCCAGCAACATCCAGGAGTTCGATACCCTGTCCTCACACCTAATCTTCAGGGTTTCCACGATGCTGTAAGTGTGCTGCTGCTTTTCATGAAACTGGCATGCCTCTTTTTGTTTTGTAGTCTACAAGGTTAAAATGCTGTCATATGTAGTCCATTAATCTTCACATATAACTAGTCTGCTCATAAACCAACAGGAACCTGTAGCAATCCCATGGCACGGCTGGAACGTAAAGTGCTCCCATACAGTTCTTCCAGGGCAGCCGTTCAAGAATCAAACAACAAAAATACAATTCTCTATTTGGAATAACATTTTTAAAATGTATTTTGTGCTTCCTCCTTAAATGGATAACATAGGGCACATCTTAAACATTTCCTGATGCAATTATTATAATCATCAACATTACTGAAATAAATATTTTTTCAACATTTTGGGACCAGCTTTAAGATTCTGTGGATTCCTCCCCCACACTGAAATGAGTCATTATCCTGTGTATACAAACATATCCATAAACACATAAAAATAAATGTATTTAACATTTATTTACATAATTCAAATTATATTCACTCAAAATATTAAATTTCACTGGCATTTAGCTGAGCTAATAAGACCAGTAGACCAATCAGAGTAAATACTGTAGTAATCTAATGATTTTTCTCCATCCCTCTTATTTTTTATTTCTTGTGGTTCTGTATGATTTAGGTATTTAAATTATTTAATTAAGAACCATGTTACTTTAAAGTAAAAACTTACTGTATTATGTTTACATGAGTTTGTTGCAAAGGTTTTACAATAGATATTTATTGTGTCAATGAATATTCCTAACTTTTCTGAGACTTTATTGCACAAAGTTGAGGCTTTAGGATTCTAATCTGTATATTGCCTGTGTAGGTTTTGTTTGAATCATTTATCTTTGATTTGATATAATTTTATTAAATTATAAAGGACAAGGCATTGGGCATGGTTGACTGGCACATACGTTTTTGTCCCAGCACTCAGGAGGCAGGGGAAGGAGAGTCTCTGAGGCCAGGCTGGTTTGGGTTACACAGGGAGTTCTAGTTCAGCTGGGACTACAGTGAGATCTTGACTCAAAAAAACAAACAATAAAGAAAAAGGTGTCTAATGAAATAAAATTTTTATTTTAGAGATCCAAATTCACTTTGGGGCAGAGGAATGAAAACCAATGTTTTCTAAATGTGGGAGGAATTATGTCATTTTTCTCAATGTATTAATAGACAATCAGAGATGAAGCCCGGTGAAACCTAAGCAGACTAGAAGTGATAGTTTAACTAAAGGTCTGACACCTGGGTGTCTGAGAGGTCTGACTTGAAAACTCATCACTTCAGAAGTTCAAGGGGAGGAGATAAACATGAAAAAGGGGCCTAGGGGGAAGCTGATTCAATCATGATTTTGGAATTAAAGACTGTCAATGTGATTTGAGCCATAGGCTCACAGACCTTTAGTGCTCAGGACACAAAACAATAGAAGCTAATTTAGAACTAAGAGGACATTTGGGGGCAAAATCTAAATGACCGATTTGGAAAACTTTATGTTGGATTATAGAAAAAAGAAACAGAAATAATTTATTATGCTCTCTCAATAAATGGTTTGAAAATAATGTTCTTCATAAAAACATATGTTTTAACTGGGTACAAGTATTTTCCATAATTAGAATTAAAGTGTTACTGAGTTTAACCTGTTGAAAGACAAAATTAACTGGATCATCACCACTGTGTTTCATGGCCTCATAGTCTTAAGAATGTTGTAGTTTATGGAATCTTCCTTTTACTAGAAAATATTTTTTCCGTTTCTAAAGGGTATATACAGCAAAATGAGAGAAATCTTGTTATATATTTTAGAGTAGTCATTACAGAGCAAGCAACGTTCTGCTAGCATTTATAACTCTTTTAAAGTTGTTAGCTTGAGTTCTCTAAATTGTATTTTTCAGGTTGCTGCTGGAGCCACTGAAATATCAGTTTTTGGTGCTGCTTCTGAATCTTTTACCAAGAAGAATATCAACTGTTCCATTGAAGAGAGTCTGGGAAGGTTTGAAGAGGTCATTAAGTCTGCAAGGCACATGAATATTCCAGTACGAGGGTACTTATGAAACCTAATTCTATTTCATTAGCATCTCATTAGCATCATCTTTCTTTCAAATAATATATTCTCTACCATTTATTAAAGTATTATACAGCATAATATTAATACTTTATTTAATCAGTGCAATCACTATGCACTTGTATCTCATTAATGTCATTAATAATTACTACTGTGTATCTAGCCTGTGGACTACGCAATCTAATTAAGATCAGAGGAACTAGCATGGAAGTATCACTTTAACACTCAGCTATCCAAATGTCTCAAATTCACATGTAATGTAATGTAAATTAGATCTGTTTTTGTAAGTGCCGGCTGTGAATAAAAGTCCCCAGATAAAAACCTTCAGTCTTCAAAGTGGACTTTCTCTGGCAAGGCTGATCCACTGATTAGAATTTTAATGAGTGGAGAGTTTGGAATGTTGCAGGTCCAGAGCCTAATTATCATTTATCTTGGGCCATCTTTAGCTCCCTAAACAGCCACTCCTTGCCCATCTCTGTTTCTGATCTAACATCCTGTGACTAACAGATAAAAAACTTTTAGAATGTATTATCCTATTATCCAGATCTCACTGTTAGATTTTGGACAACAAAAGGAAAGATAGAAGAGTAGGAGACAAGACACCAAAGCCAGACCTGCAACAGGCAAGGACTCTATCTTCCTTTATTCAAAGAAGATACAGTGAGAGGTAGAGGCTGTCCACAGGAACCAAGCATCTACAACTAGACAAAGAAACGGAGGGGCCAGTTATACCAGGGTTGTGAGACACAACTACTCTTAGTGGGGAGTTGGGTTAGTGCTGGGGCTTGATGTCCTTGGAGTGATTGAGGGTCTCCTTCTCAAGATTATTTCCCCAGAAACTGGCAGGAGTGTTATCTAAGGCCCTAGAGGAGACAGGTGGGCTCCACAAACACTTTCTCTCAGGCTTGGGAGTGACCAACTGATAAGGGGTGAGCAGAGCCAGGCTTGAGCAAGGCCAGGCTGCCAATTAACGGAAGCCGGCCAGTTAGACACTTTAAACGATTTATGGCTTTCCCTAATGAGGCTTGTGGCTCTTCTGCAATTCACACATTCTATCACTCACCAATCTAAGACTGTCATCAGATAGCATCTGAGACCTATAGTAGAATGAACCCCCCTTTGCTGTGACCCATCTACTGAATGTATCCACCAATGTATTTTAAAAGTGTCTTGATTTATGACTTTTCTTGTCTCTGTTACTATAAAAATGTAAGGTAACTGTTACCACACTGGAACATGGAATTTGGGGTAACCTGAATCTGTGTTCCTGGGCCATGGTCTCTCATATTTGGCTCCGGAATAAACTCCTTTCCCCTTTGAGGTGAGAGTCAGACAAGGCTTACCTAAGATACTGGTCCTTTTCTCCTCATGTAGCTTTTTCTGGTAGAAAGGCATTGCTCATGCCTTCTGCCTTTTCCTTCAGGAAAGCGTAATGTTAATTTCTCCTTTTCTTCTTCATGACTTTCCCACTAAGCATGCTTTCCTTAAGGCTTTGGGCTGCCCCTCGCACCTTGTATTTCTTCACTTTTTATCTAAAGCTTCCTTCTCCCAGCCATGTGGGAGTCAGCCAGTCTGACCTCCCTCACAGGCGCTAAACCTGTATGGCTCCATGGCTTCTTACCTTCTTCCCACCATTCACCTCCTCAAGGCAGCTGCCAAGATTATCAGCTCCCCTGCCCTGAGGACTTTTCTTTAAGATTCTAATAAAATTTTAAAAGTTTCTGTTTGGGTCCATTCTTAAATTCTTTTATGACTGATACTAAGAACCCTGTAGGGGACCCACTTTCTCCCCATTTCAGAACTATTACCTCTCATTCCAGGGGACCATGTTAAAATAAAGTCCACAGAGAGAAAAACTGTCCTAAGATCCACAAGCCCCACTTTCTCTCTCAGGAGTTTAGAAGTATACTTAAAAATGGTGGCTTGAGTAGAAAGATCATGTAATTTCTATTCTAGTTTACTGTCTTAAGACTCCTGCAATGAAGTTATATGCAGACCATTAGAAGACAGTGAAGCAGACAGTGGAGATGGAAATGTGAGGCTCTCAGTAATGATTGAATATAAGGAAAAAGAGGAAAAAAAAATCCTCCTTTCTTTTGATAGCTTTTAAGACCAGCAGTTGCAGCATGGGTTGCAACCTTACCCACACATGGAAAGACATACTATCCATTTTTTGTCAGCAAAGAAAGATAATAGCTTATTTTCTAATAGCTATATAAATATTCAAATACAACTGCACTAGCGCAGGTGACTCCATCTTGACCCCTGCTTCCATTTTTTTTTTCAGGCAAGTCAGACCTAAGGTTTAACTTAGTTCCAAGGACCCCCTTCTTTCCGCTCAGAAGCCTGGTTCTGGGTAATGGCTAACCACAGATAGCAGTGTCTCCACCCAGGGGCCTTTCCCTGTTTACTTAGAAGAGGCCGAGTTTTTTTCTGACTCTTTAACAATGAAATGTAACCTCCACCCCCTAAACACCGTCTGTCTTGTGACTGTCATGGGGTGATTAACTATTGTTTGTTTCCCTGAGTGTGCATGCTTATTACTAGGCCCTGAGGGAAGTGGAATCTCTTCCCTTGCAGCCTTACATTCCAGAAGAAGGAAGCAGCAAGGTTTTTACCTTTGAAAACTTCCTCCCCTGTTTAGAAAGTTACCACAGGTTACATGCTGGCCCTGGGATAGTACACTGAGGTCACTACGATTATTTGGAATAAAAATTTGTCTAATTCCAATTTGGTTGAATTTGAGTGGCTTTCCTGGTGGTCCGGAACTCCATTACATGACAAACACACAATTCAGAAATAGATGCAGCTGTAGCTTGTAATTCCTTTAGTTGAGGTGAGCAGAGTCATAATGGCAGGAATGATCCAGTGATTAATAACAGAATTAGAAAGAGAATTTCAGTAATAGAACACTAGCTTAGCACATAAAAAAGCCCTGGATTTGTTCCCCACCAATGCGAATTAAAAAAAAAAAAAAGAAAGAATGTAAAAGAGAAGTCTGTCCTTGAGAAGGGATATTCCAATGATTGGAGTTTAGTCCAAATTGTATGGCAGAGTAGACAGACTATACTGTACTACACGGTGGACTACGTCATTAATGTTCTCATTTTCAAGCATTTTTATCTTCCCACAATAACTCTCTAACATGACTTTTTTAATATATTGCATGATTTTTGTGATTGGAATTGGTATTTTTCATGTGAAGAACTTGCTAAAAATTGTGAAGCCAAGTTAATATATGTAATATATGCCATGTGCACTAAAAAATTATTCATTTTAAGGCCAAGTATATAAAAACAATTAAAAGGGAAAGACTATAAACATTCAAATTCAAGTATAACTAAGTTGTGTTGTCTCTATTAACTTTAAAAGAAAGGGGAAAAAGAAAACCTTATATTTCAAAATGTGAAGTGTGTTTAGAGGAAAAGAATTCTTATTGCAGAGTTGAAGAAACATAGAACTGTAGAAGTATTTGCTTTGCAGATGGTAACTGTTCTAACCTTTGTTTACGATGTTAAATAGATGAGCTAATAAAAATCTGAGATGCTCTTTAAACTCACTGCATAAAAATTTTGCCTCTTCATTAAGGAAAAAATTGTCAGATTTAAAAACAGTGAGCATTTTATAAAGACTTACTGAGAACATCTAAATTTTTATGGAAATGGTGATGGTTATATGGCCTATCTAACAGTTTTCATTAATGTCGTGAAGGTTATTGTACAATTGCTTCCCCTCAAACACACATACATCATGCAGATATGTAGATATTTTAATACATGTTCAGAATAACAAATAATATCTGAAACACTGTAAATGATGCCATACCAAATTAATTATGTAAAATGCAGTCAGCTAACCACTGAAGCATAAACACATATTTAGATATAAATGAAAAGTTCATTTTGTAGTTAATTTTTATTTATATATTTTTAAAAATATATTATTCTTATTTTATATGTTTGATTGTATTGCAGCATATGTGTAAGTACACTCATGTTCTGCAGTGCCTTCAAAGGCCAGAAGAGGGAGTCAGATGCCCCAGAACTGGAGTTACAGATGGTTGTTAGCTGTCATGTGGGTGCTGGGAATTGAATCCAGGTCCTGTGTAAGAGCTGTCAGTACTCTTAACTGCTGAGACATCTCTCCAATCCCTTGTACTTGATTTTTAATGTCATTAATATCACATGCTTTAAAAAATATATTATTTATTATTATTTATACAAATTGATGCAGGTCAAGGAGTAAGAAAAATAAAATCTTGTTATTAATGTAATTGCTTTATATCATGTTTAGCAGTGTTATTTATTTAAAGAATTATCTGTTGCTGGTCATACACATTTTAAATTGAAGTAGTATTCTAATGTATCATATAAAGCTTTTAGAATGTACTGCTTTTTGTTTAAAGTCAATACCATTTTTTTCCTTAATGAAGTCATAAGAATTGTATGTTCTTTTTTTGTGACAGTTTACAATGAAAAAGAAATGTAAGAAGCTGGAGAGATTGCTCAGTGGTTAAGAGCACTTGTTGCTCTTGTAGAGAAGCCCAGTTTGGCTCTCAGAACCCACATGGCAGCTAACAACCATCCATGACTCCAGATCCAGAGGATCCAATGTCCTCTTATGGCTTCTATGGGCATTGCATGACACAGGTGCACTTACATATGTGCAGATAAAATAGGCATGCACATAAAATAAAAATAAATAACATTTTTTAAAAAAGAAACAACACTAAAGTATGAATATTAACAATTTTAAGTACTTATAAATGTGTGTTATAAAATCAACATTCAGAAACTCTTCTCAAAATGTAAACCATGAACAATCTAATCTGCAAATGGCCAGGATGATGCGGACTGAAATCTTACCTCTGACATCTGAGTTGGGTAAAACTTGAGGTTTATTTCTGCCCTTTTCCCCCCTGGGAGCCAATATTTCTCTGTTATTTAGAAGGTTACAAAATTCAAGAATATTATCTGTTAGCAGAACCTGTTTTACTTCTCCTCAACTTTCTAGAAAATAAATATATGAAATATTGAGACTAAGAAATAAGGCAAACTAACAACTAAATAACTATACAAAATCATAGATTTCTTTTAGATGCAAAATTTTATTAGATACAACATTTTTAGATACAAAATTTTAATTTAGTTGTGCTTTGTTCTTACAATGTGACTAACACATAATTAATTAGGGGAGGGTAAGGCAGCAGATTTTCTCCAGCCCCAATAAATGTACTGTTCACTTTGCCTTTTTACTTTATTAACCATACCAACCAAAACTATGCCTAGTTTTGTTTCCAAAAGATCATAGATATTAGTGATCTATTTTTTTTTTTTTTTTTTTAGTAAAAGACACTCAAGAAATTCTTCAAGGGACTCAAGAAAGATGTCTCAGCAGTTAAAAGCACTGACTGCTCTTGCAGAAGACCTGGGTTCAGTTCCCAGCATCCACATGGTGGTTAACAACTATCCGTAACTCCACTTCCAGGGGATCAAACATCCTCTTCTGGCCTCCATGGGCATTTCACAACATGGGTGCATTTATATACATGTACCCAAAACACTTATACAAATAAATTAAAAATAAATGAATCAAAAAAAAATTCTAAGTTCTTCCAGTATACAATTATTTTTTAGTTGGTTGCTCATTTCTGTTGAGCTTGCAGCCTTTAAAAATGGCAACCTTCCCAGATGCTACAAAGGGCTGTGTTCCCCCTATTTTTACTTCATGAGATGATTTGTAGCTCAGCACATTTACTTAGAACTTGCAGCCTGCTTTCTGAGTTAGCCAACTTATCTATGTAATTTAGGTGCCACAGTTTTTGTGTTCTGTCTTTCTCCCTGTCTAGGGTCATATGATTGTGACCCTACCGTATGATAATGAGTCTCTGTAATCAGAGCTCTGTATTTAAATATACAATTGCTAGCAGGTTCTATTGCTTCCAACTGATGTATCAAATGCCTTCCTCTGGACAGTCTGCCTTTGAGAAACTCATATCATCTATCATCTATGTATGTATGTATGTATGTATGTATGTATGTATCTATCTATCTATCTATCTATCTATCATCTATCATCTATCTATCTAATCTCTCTATCATCTCTCTATCATTTATCTATCATCTATCTATCTATCTGTCACCTATTTATCATCTATCTTTATCTATCTATCTATCATCTATCATCCATCTATCATCTATTTAATCTATCATCTATCATTTATCTATCATCTATCTATCTATCATTAGCTATCTGCCATCTATCTGTCATCTATCTTTCATATATCTACTATCTATCATCTATCTATCTATCTATCTATTTATCTATCATGTATCATCTCTCATCTATCATCTATCATCTATCATCTATCTATCATCTATCTGTCATCCATCTATCATCTACTTAATCTATCATCTATCTATCATTCTTTGTCATCTGTCTAGCTATCATCTATCTTTCATCTATCTATCTATCTATCTATCTATCTATCTATCTATCTATCTATCAATCATCTATCTATCTATCTATCTATCCATCTATCTATCATCTATCTATCTATCATCTATTTATCATCATCATTTATCTATCATCTATCAATCATCTATCATCTTATCTATCTAGATAGATAGCACCATCTTACTAGTGGGCTTCTTACTGCCTACAGAATTTCCTCTTTAACTTCCATCATTAAACTGAGGCCTAGATTTTGACCAGTGAGAACAATTAAAATTATTATTCATCAAAATATGGCACATGAAACTAAAAATCAGCCATTTCCTAGCCTATTTTCCTTTATATATACTGTTTGATTAAAGGCTTATACTTTCCAGTAAGTTGATATAACTAAACATCAGTGTGAAACAGGAGATTGAAACTGGATGATGAGAAATTTGCATGTTATTCTGTGTTCATAAGACCAGAACAATTTGCACCCAACAGAAGTTATTGTACATACGCTGTGCTTGCACAGTCATTCTAAATAGCCTTCGCTTAGATTTTTTTGGTGGGGTAAGGGACAGGGGGAGGACAGGGTCTTGCCTTATAGTTCTGTCTGTCCTACTGCGCAGGCTGACCTCAAGCTTGTAATCATCCAAGTTCAGCCTCCTAAATGCTAAGATTATATCATGTACCACCATTCCTGGAGATTATAACACATACCACCATGCCTGGAGATGATAATACATATCACCACCATGCCTGCATTTTCACTTAGAGCTTTTGTGAAAAGAGATTGTCATGATTCTTATGGTCCTTCATTTGAAAACCCTTGCTTTAAGAGTGTTAAAAGTCCAGGTAAAGAAATGCAGTTGAGGACAATTGTATTAGGTTTGTGTGAGGTCAAAGAAGCAGGCACTCACAAGACTGATGATGAGCCTGTAAAAGTAAAACACAATGGAATGTGAAGACTTAGGGCACTGTAGACCTGGGAGTCAACTAGTAAAAAATGAATGGAGTGGAAATATCCATGTTGAGAGCTGAGTGTTAGCCACAAGCGCTAGTCATGACCAAGTAGTAAGATGCACGTGCCTAAGAGGTTTGTTTTGGTATATTTTTGAATTTATTGTTATTTACTGGCTTTATTTTTCACATTGGATACATTTAGAAGGATAATATACAATTTGTCACCTTGGATCTCATATTTAGTCACAGCCAGATGTTTTGGGTTTAAGATCAATGTACTTGTTTTGCACATTGCTGTAATCACTGTGGTTGTTTTGTAGTTACTGCTCTTTTACATCCTTAGGGACTTCTCCAGTGCCACGCCCAAAAGATAGTTTGTTATGTATCTTGGTTACATGTAAACAAATTATCTAACAAATATGAATCAGTATAGTAGCGGAAGAGTGAGGCAAGAATCCTGTCAAACATACTTGAGTCTGTCGCTTTTACCTCCTCTCTCCTTGATTATCTTTTGAATTGTGTGATGGGCTTATCAAACTGCTTGACTGTTTTATTCCTCAAACATAACTTTTATTCATGGTTTAAAACCTCTAAAATTACGTTACATTTTAGAGCCAATGAATGTGTACTAACCCACTTAATATGAATGACTTTTACTCCAAAGTCTGTTAGAAAGTTCATTATGTACTTTATAATGAATCACAACTTAGAATCAAGGCAAATGTGATTATATTTTCTCTTTTTTGCATCCACATGCCCTCTGACTACCACTTTCTGAACATTATATTTCTCTAAAACAAATTTGATTTTGTCAGTACCTTGTCTAATAATTTATAGGTTTGAATCTTCTCAAACTCCATCTCCTTTGTGCGAATTCAAAGACTCTTGCTATCTGGAATCCTTTATAACCTCAACCAAGAACTATATCTCCAGCCCGTGTCTCCACTGCTCCTCTGTACCCACGTGATTTGCTTCACCACTGGTCCTCAGCCACATGATGCAGAATTAATACTATGCTGTACATCCTCAGAGGATAGTTCAATAGAGTGGAATTGGTGTTAAGCTGAAAATAGCTAAAACAAGCTTTTTTTAAAACGTAATGATTGCAAATGAAAAGGGATCATTGTCTTTGGAGGAAAGATTTACTTTTTTAAATGAAAACAATTTGCTGAGGAAACTTATCTTTATTTAGAACTTTCTAAACCCCCTACACGCTTTTCTGTTAGGAATAGTTTAGATAAACCCATGAGAGAAAAGGATAAGCTCTGAGGTGGTGGATACTTAATGAGACTGCAGACTGTATCCAATGATATCCAAACATCCAAATTGACGTACATTTTTGACTGCCATTTCTGTATAATTCTAAAGACTTGGATATTGAAATATAGTATTATATAACTATTTAAATAAAAATATCCATTTCATTGGGTTTCCTACTTTGATTATATGTTGCTACAGATTCATGAGATGTTATTCACTGTCTATCATCAATAATATTATAAAATTATAGTTATTAGATACATTAATAAGATGAATTAGCTAAAATTACTCACAAACAATTTTTATTTATTTGAAGGATAAAGTAAGAGTGCAACTTAAATTTTCTTGATGCACTTTGTCAGTTCTTCTTTTATAAAATTGAAATTATTTGTTATATTTTTCTGTGCTTTAAACGTAGGTATGTGTCTTGTGCTCTGGGCTGCCCATATGAAGGAAGCATCACACCACAGAAAGTCACAGACGTAAGATACATCTCCAGTCTTTGTGGTTGCTCTAAAATGTGTATTATTTTTTTAAGTAGATACTTATCTGTACTATTTATTGAATTTCATATGGCAAAGACTGGGAAATTATCACTGAAGACATGTTTGGTTCCTTATTTAGTCATTTCATTCTTAATACAAACCTACATGTTGACTAGAACTTTCCAAAGATAAATGACAATTGAGTCTTATAAGTCGCATGCTCAAAGGTAGAAGGAGCAAAAGTTCTTTCTTCTTTGCATGGGCTGCAGCCTAGGGAGTGCGCCCCCACTTTCCATCACTCTGTCTGGCGTGCTTCGGCAGCTCCCTTGTGTCCTGAGTACCTCAGCTCTGCTACTGCAGGTTGAGCTGCAGCGTCTCCGCTTCTTTGTCATTTCTGTGACTGTGCCAAGCTGTTGCTGCGACAGAAACTGTATAGCAATAGGTTATAGTCGTTAAGAATCTGCTTATTAGATTTTTGAATTTGCTTGTTGTATTCTATTTCTTTAACATTAATTCATACTAATGAACACCAAATTCTCTACTTTGGGGATTATATCAGACTATTACAGAAACTGGTTTGTATATAAGGCATCTTAATGTGAACCTGTTGCTAAGGTTATGCATTTTCATAAATGTAGTCACATGACATTGAAACAGTAAAGATGACATTATTAGAAAATCCAAAACTAGGCAGGTTAAACTTTAAGTTCAACTAAAGTAGTTCCTCTTTTGTACATTCATTTAAATATCTGAAACTTACTGCAGATTTTTCAAATGAGAACTGTCTCATTATCTCTTATTTCAATAATGCCCTTGCTCACAGAGGCAAGGACATTATGAAATAATGGAGCTTAGATTCTGAAATCCTTCACTTACATTGGAAACAACCCAAGACTCTTCTCAATTTGCACAGACCACTGTATATTCTTTTATTAAAGAGCATTTCCAAAAGGGTCTAACTTTGGGCCTTACAAAACCTGTGTCCATTTCTGCCAAACACCACACTCTGTTTTTTCTTGCTGTTGCTGTGGTCCAGCTTGGAAGAACTGAGCACTCAATACCTGCCCCCAAATTATTGAGGTGCCAAAGAAGCCTCATGTAAGAGATAGATTTAAAGTATTAAAGCTTCAGGATCAGCAGGCATGTTCCAGAACTGTTTGTACCATTCTAATATATTTTGTGAAATCACACCATCCTTTCTGAAATGACTATTTGAAACTGTGATTACTTTTACAGACTCTAACCTTTCCTCATACTTTATATTCCTTGTTTTTGTTGTTGGTGTTTTGTTTTTCTGCTCATGACACTGTCTTGCAGTGACTTTCTCCTGCCCTGGAATGCTTTCTGCCTTTTCTACTTCAGTGACTTGGACCCCACTAACCTTTGCATGTGCTGTTCTTCAATGCTTCTCAAATCTTCTCCCTCAACCTCTTCAAGCTTATTTTATCTCAAGGCACTTATGCCTTCCTTTTGAAGAGCTCTAGGCCAATGATTTTTGCTTCATGATATAGGATCTTGTTTCTTTGTTTCCGAATTCTTATTTTAGCTTGATTTATGCATATTCCCATGCTATCGGGGAACATTTGTCCTCACCTGTCTCCAAACACCAGGACAGCATGAGTCTTACCAATTTTTGCTTTCTCGTTAATCTCAAAACCTAAGAAGTATCTAACACAACGCCTGGCATAAAACAGGCTCCAGGGAAGTACAGGTATAAAAAACAAGTTAATGAATGACACGTGCCACATTTTTACATGTGACTTTTATTTATTTCATTTCACAACATGTCATTAATGTTATGCTTATGATTATTATAAGTGCACCCATGTTGGGCAAAGCCCATGGAAGTCAGAAGAGAGAGTTGAATTCCCCTTGAACTGGAATCATGGATGGTTTTTAGCCATCGTGTAGGTGCTGGAAATTGAACTCGGGTCCCCCAGAAGAGCAATCGGTACTCTTAATTGCTGAATCATCTCTCCAGATCCCATATTCATAGACGAATAGATAGATACAAAGTCGATATGACTCTAAGACAAATTTGAATACTAGACAAAGTGAATGATAGCAATTTCATTAAACATTTTAATATAATGCTTAACATTTAATGCATAAAAACAAGTACTAGAAGACTGAAGTGTATATTTTCCATGGACAAACTTATTTTAGTTGTAGTTTTTAACTCTAGATGATGACTACTGAAGAGTCAGAGGATTCAACTTCCATTTCCATTTCTTTAATAGAACTTTACATTTCAACAGGTTTCTAAGAGATTGTATGGCATGGGCTGTTATGAGATCTCTTTGGGTGACACCACTGGAGTGGGCACTCCAGGGAGCATGAAGAGGATGTTGGAAAGTGTCATGAAGGAAATTCCACCAGGGGCTCTTGCTGTTCACTGCCACGACACTTATGGACAAGCCCTTGCCAATATCTTAACTGCTCTCCAGGTATCTTGTTTTCTCAGTGCATTATGTCTTAGCTGTGTATTGTTATTTGTAATCTAAGCATGTTAAGAGTTTTATTCAGATAATATAATACTAAATGTGAATATAATGCTAAAATAGTATGTATTATATAGTATGTGCTGAAATGTTACGGATATGATGTTTAAACATAGCAGGCATTGATGAAGTATTTATAAATGCTTCATGATTTTTAGGGAAATGCAGGTATATTATTACTATTAGTTTTATTTGGTGAAATCAGTGGTCTGTTATTATGGGTGTGTGGGTCTTGTGGAACGCCAGCTGCTGGCTGGCGCCTGTCTCTCCCGCTCCGCTGGAGTGGGTCCCGTGCGCCGCATTGCTGAGGCGCTCCGCGACTACTGGATGCTGGCGACTCTACTGATCGCTGCATTTCCAGGCAGGTTCCATCCCAATCTACCTGGCACTCCCTCTGGGTTCGAGATCCATCAGCTGCTGGGTCATGAGGGGAGGTGCGGGATGGCGAAAGCAGGGTCTCCATGAGTCGTGGCTTACGAAGAGACAGTTCTCTCTGGGAAGACTGGATCTAGGCAGTAAGACACAGAACTCAGCTCAGTCAGACTCAGTGGTACAGCTTCTTTATTCAGTGACTCAGCTCGGCTCCAGGTCTTAGTGATTCAGCTCCGATTAATTAGGGGAAACCAGGATATTTATACTGTGAGGGCTGTGGCAAAAGCCTTAATTGATAGGTGCTTTTAGGATGCCCCATTTACATGTGGTGGTGGGCTTCTGCCAGGCTGCCAGACATTGCCTGATTATCACACAGGAAAACCTGGCAGTTTCAGAGCCAGAGGCCATGTTTCTGTGACGGCTACTTCAAAGATGAGTCAGGAAGAGAGGCAGGAGGCTTAGGAAGGCGCCCTGCTGAGAAAAGGAGTCTCTGCATAAACGCCGAGCCCCTTGGGCTATCCGGACATGGAGAGACTTCGACTTAACAAAGCAGGGGTCCCCAACATCTCCCCCTCTTTGATTTAAAAATGGAGAAGTGCCATCACCAGCCCTAAGGGCCAACTCATCTGACTCGGGAGAATTCAAAGTCTGAAAGTTGACCATGACCTGTTTTGTAGTGATTTTAGCAAATGGCAGTAATTTGTCAGCAAGGAAATCTTAAAAACAGTGAGCAAGTATCAAAATGATATACAGTATTATCAGGGGGCAACAAGGGATAGGAGCTATGCAAACAAGGGATTGCTAAGCCAACCTAATTGTTTGGTGGGTTGAAATCATGAAAATGGATTATTACAGAGTTTTTTGAGAGTGTTAACATTGGTTTCAACAACATTTGATTCATTTACAAAGAAACAGCATCTCTCCCAATACCACACACGTCCCCCCATGTTCAGCAGTTATCAAGTCCAGTGCTCTTTTGTTTTGGAGCACAACCCTGGTGAGAGAGTTCATTTGTCATTGGAGATTCCAGGCTGTCAGTCGTGGATGCTATTGCCTGGTCTAGCTTGGCCAGGGAAGGTGCAAGTTTGATTCCTACCAGCAGGGGGAAGAAAATTTTTTTCTGCTGGCAGCTGTGTAGGAGGAAAGGGCTTCTTACACCTGGAATGTAATTATTACTGGTAGATTAACATAGTTTTGGGCTTCTCCTTTGCACCATATGAAGAGAGGAGGGGCGATGCATGCTGTACTGGAGAGAGTAGTTAGTGAGGCATTTGTAATGAGTAGGCTTACTCGCTGAAAATGCAAATTAAATAATTAGCTAGTTTGAATCAGTAGATATTCACTAGATGAGAGTCAGTGAAATCTTTTTCTGTTAAAAAAGGCAGTTAAAC